ACTCATTATGCAACTCAGTACTTGCATGACAATGAAGTTTAGGGAAAAAGGAGATGAGTCTTGCTCTTCACTGTTGTTATGTTTCAGGATCAGTAGAATAAAGATGCTACATAGATCCCCCCAGAACTATAGTACTGGACTCATACCAGTCCTCCTGCCTCAGCATCTCAAGTGCTAGGATTACAAGTCTGTGCCACAACACCCAGGCATGATAATGACTCTTGACATCAGCCTGTTGACTCAAAGTCAACAGATCCAGCTAACCTGAGCTCTGATTTCTGACCCACAGAAACCATGGTACTGTTTGTTTTAAGCCACTGAGTGTTGAGGTCTCTTGTTACATGCATCGGTGACTGAGTGACTGGGCCTTTATTTAGAACAACTTTTGGACAAAATGCTATTTTATTTGGGATAGAATGGTATTAAGGGGCTTTAAAAACAGCCCCTCTCAATGTCATCTTTAAACATGGAAGTCAAATTATTTGCAAATATTCAGGGCTTTTAAGGAAAGTGTTATCTAAGTGAGAATCTTTTGCAGATAGAATTTCTCTTTCCTCTCACAAAGTGCATATATTTTGAAATGATCTAAGATATTGCAATTTCAATTATCTTTTCTCTTCCTCTGCAGAGTTTAGGAAATGTGTCACACTTGCCAGCCACTCTCCGCATGAAGGAACAGGACTGCACTAATGAAGCAGGCTTGTTTTAAAGCATTTTTTTCCTTATTGGGAGTTAGTATCACCCTCAAACTACAAATTAAAACCTACTATTCCCCTGACATCTAGCTCAGTTCTAAGAGAATTTTCTAGAAGATGTGCCCTAAGAAATGACAGGAAGATCTTTCTGTCTCTGAAACAGAACTCATGTGACAAACATTAGCTCTTTGAGGCAGGAATAATCGTTAGGGAAGAGATGAGATGGCGAAAATAGAAAATAGATACGCTTTGCAACTGTAAGGCCGGGACCACATGCATAGAAGCACGATACTCCACATTCCAGGCACACTGAGTACAGACCCACAGGTACTTTATGTCTGGAGAAACATGATTGAGTTTATTCTCAATCAAATATACTTGGTAAGTTACATTTTCACAGGGAGAGAGCCTGGAGTCCCAGCCCTAACCAAGGAGCTATTTGTGGTCGATGCCTGTTGGGAAAGGGAGGGCTGGTTTTCTTCAGTGGAGTGACATGGGGTATGTCAACCATACTAGAGCAGGCCCTGTGCTTGGGGGTAGAGAAAAAAATGGACCCCGATGCTTTTATGTGTGCATTTTTGTTTTGTATTATTTTTCCCTAAGAGAGAGAGTGTATGAAGTTGGATAGATAGGATGGTGAGAGGGATTTGACAGGAGTTGGGTAGGGGGAAGGAATGTAATCAGAATAGGTTGTATGAAAAAATTAATACAAACACTATGTTAAAGCTGAAAAAAAAAAGGTCCCTTGGGAAATGCTGTGCACCCCCTGGGGATACCAAACCTTTCAACCGTGTGCTGCAGTAAGGAAACACTTAACTTTAATTATAGTTCTCAGATTTCTTTGCGTATGAATTCTTTTATATTATTAGTAAATTAATCATTATATTGTTAACCTAACCCTCTTAATAATAATTACTAACCACAGCTTAGGAAGCCTTGTTCCATCCCACTTATTCCATAATTACAGGCTAGGACTTTCCCTGTGAAAGCACCCACCCCCTTTTCTAGAAATGTTTACAACTTTGTTCATCTGGTTAGGACGTCCCCCCACCAGATGGACAAGCAGGAATCCATGCACATCCCCTTTCATGTCTCCTCCAGAAACAGAAGGGATTCTGGGAATCCGTGCTCACAATTGATGGCATAGTAGCCACTCAGTACTGAAACCATTAGCAACTACTTCTGCTCAAGTTAGAAGTATGGATGGACTTTATACTATGGAATCTTCATATTTTGCTGGTTAGTTTTTATTGTTAGCTGGACACAGTCTAGAATCACCTGGGAAAGGAAACCTCACCTGAAGAGCTGCCTCCATCTTAGTGGCTTGTGGCCAAGTCTGTCTTGACTGATGATTGATAAGAGAGGGCTCAGCCCACTGTTGGAGGCATCAGCCCTAGCAAGTGGGTCTGGGCTGTGTAAGGACACTAGCAGAGAGCAAGCCAGAAAGTGGGCCCATCACTCTCCCTTTATGGTTTCCACCTCCAGAGTCCTGCTTTGAGTTCTGGCCCCAGTTTCCCTTGATGATGGATCCTGACTTAGAAGAGTCAGCCAGAAAAATCCTTTACTCTCTCTCTCTCTCTCTCTCTTTTTTTTTTTTTTTTTTTTTTTTTTTTTTTTGGTTTTTCGAGACAGGGTTTCTCTGTGTAGCTTTGCGCCTTTCCTGGAACTCACTTGGTAGTCCAGGCTGGCCTTGAACTCACAGAGATCCGCCTGACTCTGCCTCCCGAATGCTGGGATTAAAGGCGTGCGCCACCACCGCCCGGCCCCTTTACTCTCTTAAGTTGCTTTTGCTCATTGTGTTTATCACAAGAAGCAAATACTTTTTTTTATATTTAAAAGTTTTTATTGTTCTCTGAATCCTTTAAAATTTTTGTGTTTTCTTTTGGCTGAGAAAACTAATGGGACTTTTGTTTTTGACCTTATTTTAAATTTCAATAAAAACTGCTGCGTGAGAAAGGGTCACATCAAAGGTCTCATTTCTAGCTAGTGTTCCATGTGTTAAGACTAATGGGGGGTGGGGGTGAGAACATAGGGAAATGGGAGGGTCGAGCTGGAGCGGGGAACAGAGTGGGAGAGCAGGGAAGGAGATACCGTGATAGATGAAGGCATCATGGGAGTGGGAAGAGGCAGGGTGTCGGGGAGGCTCTCAGGAATCCACAGGGATGACCCCACCCTGGATGGCTGGCAGTGTTTGAGGGGGTGCCTGTACTGATCTATTCTGGTGACCGGTCTAGTGAATACCCTAACTGTCATCATAGAGCCTTTATTCAGTGACTGATGGAGGTGGATGCAGGGATCCACTGCTGGCACCAGGCTGAGCTCCATGGAGAGAGGAGGGATTCTGCGGGCAGGGGGAGGGGGGAGGGGGCGTCGAGACTACGATGGAAGACATGCGGAGATGACCAGCCACACTGGTGGAGACCCATGAACTGTGGACTAATGCCTGTGGAGCCCCCATGAGACTAACTAGGTCCTCTGGATATGGGAGACAGCTGTTTAGCTCGAACTGTTTGGGGGATACCCGGGCAGGGGGATTGGGATCCATCCCTGGTGCATGGGGAGGCTTTTGGAAGCCCGGTGCCTGCGGTATGGCACCTTGGTGTGGCGGGGAGGGGCTTGGACCTGCCTTGGCTTGGTGTGCAGGGCTCTGCCAACTCCCCATGGGAGACCTTGATTTGGAGGATGTGGGGATTGGGGGTGGCTTGAGAGGGAGGGCTGGGGGGTGGGAGGAGGAGGGAGGGGGGAATCTGTGGGTGGTATGTAGGGTGAGTAGAAAATTTCTTAATCAAAAAATTATTTAAAAAAACAAATGCTATTACCCACTGGTTCCCCTCCCCCCAGTATTGCAAGTTTAATATTTTAATAATCATCAGAAACCATCGTCAATCTCTTACAAAAAAAAAAAGACTCATGTTAGACAAAATCATCTTTACCGAATGACTGTTAGTTGTGATGGGACCCCAGGGTGTCCTTTCAAAGGAGTCCTGGGGAAGAGGAGAGACGTTGGCACAGGATCCTTCTATGCACAGATACATGGAACCAAGCACAAGAGTACTCCTGTGCCACTGAGCACCTGACAGTCTCCTTCAGAACATTCTGAGGAAGAAACGCAGGATTTGCTTTGAAGATTTCTGGGGGGCAGGACACACTGGATCCCCTGTGTTGGCTGATTCAGTGATTAAACGCTTCAAGACAGCCTGAACTTCAGTCTGGAGCAGAAAACCCAGAGCACTTCAGGTACCTGATTGCACCGAACGTCGGGGGTTTCCGAGGGTGGTGAAGGGAGCTGTGAGAGTTGTCCTCTGTGGACACCATGCTCAGCTGCTCGAAGCTTAAGGCAGCCAGCTGAGGGCTGGGCACACCAAATAAGGCAGTGCCAAGGTGAAAGCTCTCCCTTTAGAATTGAGACTCACCCGAGCAAATAGAGCTAGATGCCCAACTGTCCCAGAGAATTTAGAGATTGAAAATGAACACTCTTGGATAACAGACATTCAAAAAATTAAGAGAGAGTTTCAAAGGTCTACATTTATTGTAATAAAGTTGAAATATCCATAAATAACCTGATTGCCAAACTTTTTAGAAAATTTAGAATTGGGTTGCTGCTCTATACACACCAATTCTCCGGCTTATGCCACAAGATTGAAATCAATACCCCTTCTCATGCAAGGCTCACCACAGAGCCTCTCTGACATGAGACACCTCTCAGGGACTTTTACCCCATGGGAGGGGCAAGAAACACTAACTAGATGATCTCAGGAGAACTGGAGACCAGTGAACTGGAAGGGGCTGGGAATGAGAAAGAGCCAGCCAGGGAATGGATGTTTAGGCAGCTGCTCAAACCCAGGGTGAGAAATTTTCAGCAAGTTTTAGGGGGTGGGAGATTGATAAAGCACCAGCAAACAAGAATATACATAAGGGAAAGTGACTTAGCTTTCATCAGGATTCCGGCATGGCCAGGGAGTGCAGGCAGAACCCACTGGAAGCTGCCTTTTGTTTTAGGGCTAAAATTGAACAATTCACTGGGAACCAGGGAATTAAAGTACAAGGGGTAGCTCCAAGGAGACTCATCTCCTCCAGAAAATCCCAGGAAACATCTCTTAAAAGGAGTCATTGTTTTTCCTGACAAGAATGATTTTATGTCTCTCCTCTCTGCTGTGTGGCAATATGACACATGAAAGGGGCTGTCCTGGGTATACAGACGGTCTCAGGGTTGGAGGTCATGAGGAAGGTGCGTTCAGGAAGCACTCTCAGAAGGCAGCAGCATAGAAAACCATTCCTCTACATAAGGGAAAGAGTCAGACTTACCGGTTCCACATTGTAGGAAAACAACGCATACTCTTTATCCGGGGATATTTCATATCTGATGGCTCTTAAGGATTCCTAAGAGGAAAAAAGAAAACAGAATTTACAGGTGTTGCCCATAACAACTCTGGGTCCTAGTAACACTGGAGACACCCTCAAAATCCTCTACTGAGATAAGTTAAGCAGTGAACCAGTCACATTAGGTACAGCTATATCTTTTCTTAGTTAGCCAATCAAAATGTAGCTAATTGATGCTTTCAAAAATTCTATTTGTGCTGTATTTCAAGTTTCAACAAAACAGTCCTTATTGCGTCTGCTGAAGCAAATCAGTGGAAACAAACACAAAAACAAGCATCATTTTCCTGTAAGACCCCCAATCTCTCAATGCCTAATTATCATCTTTTTCTTTCATTCTTATATTTAGAAGCATATGCTCAGCAGAGTTGTCACTAAACAGAAGTAACACACTGTTCTGTAACTTGTCTCTTTACCATGTGGGATTCCCTGGGAGTCAGCACACAGAGGGTATGCTTGCTTTTCTGCCAGATTCCCTTGTCTACAGCCCTCACTGTGAATACGTGCATCGCCAACCATGAGGTTCCTCTGACCTACTCTGCCCTCTGCCCTTGCACACACTCCTGCTCTGACCCCATTCCCACCCACCCGAAGGCCCTCATCATCAGCCTGGTGTCCATCACTCCACAGTGCTGCAGTGACCACTTAGAGAGTGAGCCACACCATTGAAAATGATAATGCCTTATGCATCTTTGTGTCTCAACTTCTTCTCATGCAATGGGATCTTAAGGAGCTGGTTTGTCTGGATTATTGCTCTTTGTGCTAGATGTATAACCTTCATGTGCCTTCATTCATGCAGTCTTCACTAAAGGCAGGGTGGTTCTCAGTGGCTGCATTCCAAAAGCTACCATGAACACCAAACCAGTGCGCACAGGATCCCCACATCTAGGGGAACCCAGGACTTTGCTCCTCACGCCTCTGTGTCCACATTTTCACCAACTGATCAAGATGTAGTGTTCTGAATTGTGTGTTTCTGTTTAAAGATACCTTACTGACTAGGCATGGCTGAACCATTAACATTAACTCCTGGCCAGAGTCACACAAAGATGAGCCTGCACCCACATTATCTCCACTGGGTGCACTCCAGTTCTCAGGAGCATTAGACATGGGAACCCCTGTAAGTGTGAGAACACCCACAAATAAGCATGTGGCAAACACAGTGCTCTGCAGTCCACAGGGGAAAAGCAACTGTTCACAGTGTGAGAGCTGAGCAAGAAAGCAGAATGTTCTCTGCTCTGTCTCAGCTGACACACCAAGGCAGGACCAATGCAGGATGGCTCAAATGTGTTCCTACCATGATGGAGATGACTCCAATGCTCTGAGAGTGTAATCCTGTGGGGTGCAGTAAACCTCAGCACATGGAGCACCTCAGCTCTAGAAACTGTGGACAGGGGAGCCACCGTACAGCAGCTCCCACCCGCCGTGACTAAGAGCAGCACCACACTAAAGACTCCACCCACGTGTCTCTATGGATGTGGGCCTGTAACTGTTTTTATAGGTTAGGCATTTAAGGGCTAGAATGATGATGAATGGTAGTTTAAAAAAAGTTCAACAGATTTTGATAAATAATTTTCCACAAATGGCATTTATACCCCACTGTGGATATGTGGACACACAGTCCCACCCTCCTCTGAAGTAATTTGTAATGTGATCGTCTCTCAGGTTTGACCACTGCAGGTGTCACTTGGGGTTTCTGTGGTAGTTTAGCTCCTAGGCATAGTCACTCCTCGTTATCTATGGTACAGGTAACGTTGGCCTTATCTGCAGAAGACTGACCAGCTGAAACTGCCTGAGAGTATTCTATGCTCTGATGTTCCCCTGCTCTCTCCTGAACTCCTGCATCCCACCCCCACTATTTAGTCCAAATCACTCTTCTTCTGGTACCCTGGGTGTTGTTTTGGTAAATGCCATAGTTCAGCTGTCACCATACTAGACAACCTATCCCTCCCCTCTCTCCAGAGTACTGTCCGCAATCGGTGGCACGCACGCATGCACGCACGCACGCATGCACGCCTCCCTCCCTCCTATGTCTTTTCTTGCTGTTTAGAGCTTCCCACATCCTCTGGCTCCAGGCCTTGGGGTGCAGGTCTAACATTGGGACCTTCACTTTTCTAGAGAAAAACCACTCCTTAAGTGACACCATGTAATCTTAGGACTCTAAAAACCACACGCAGCTACCCCCGAGGAGTACACATACCCTGCTGAGACACCCAAAGCCTGGATGGGACCTTAAGTAGACAACTGTTTCCTTGCAGCTCTACCTGGATGTCTGGTGCTCACCCCCATCCTCTGTCCTCTCTTTCCAGCTTCCGTTTTTCCTCCCACTGCTCACAGTGGCGTCTAACTCCCCTCTCCTCCCCCACCACCCTCTTTTCTCCCCTTCTCTCTACTCTTTTGTATCTTTTATTCAGTTGCTCAGAATTCTCTGAGCTTTCTGTAGAAACATGTTCTGAGCCCCCACGCTCTTGCTTCAGCTGGCACCCTCACCTGGGTGAACACACTTCCTTGAGATCCTTCCCTGGCTCTTGACTCCATTGGCAACCAGTCTCCCCTTGGTGGTTAGGGTGTCACACTTTGAAATGTGTAATTCACCGTCTAGTTCCCTGCTGGAAATCCCCATGAGCTTCCCACCTCACCAGAGGTCACCACTACGGCTCTGATGACCAGCAGGCCCAGCCTGGCCCTGTCCCCTCCCCATAGCCTGCCCATTTCTCTTCTTTATGCTTCTCTCCCATCATTCCTTTCTCTACTCCATCCCAGAGCAGGCCAGGCATGGAGCCCTGCAAGGTATGCACTTCCTCTTCTCTGCCTGGAATCTTCCAAGCTTTCATTTCCTTAAGGCCACCTTCTAGGTAAGTCCTTCAATGGCTAGTGACAGATGAAGTCACAAACAGCCTTGTCTCTGTGCTCCATAAGGCACCATTCTGCTTGTTTTCCTGTGAGCTAACCATTTGCCAAGTTAGCATCCACTTTATCTCACACTGTCTGTTCTCCTCAAAAGGAAGGCTGCTGGTTCCCATCTTTAGTCTCCCTCCACAGTTTTGTAGTTTTTCTCATGCAGATCTCACCTCTGTTTTGTTACATTCATCTCTATGTAATATGATGGATGTTTCACAGATACAAAAATGGATGGTGTCTCATTGTCAATACACAATCACGAGTTGCTAATATACAGGGATTTATTGGATTTGGGCATCTTGACTTTACACTCAGAAGTGTTACTAAGTTTAGGTTTGTGGCTTTAAAGATATAGATTCCTTGGAATTTTCCTCACAGTCATCTTTTCTGTGGATAGATTCTTCTCTTCCTACGTGGTACTCAATCCCACTCCACAGAAGTGCTGGCACTGTGAAGGAGGTGGGCATTGCTAGCTTTCCGGACTATGAAGGCGAGGCAGTCAGCCTTTGCCCTTTTGTACGGTGGCCTCTGAGGCTCTCTGAAGGTGACGTCATCCACCTACTCATTAGTACCTTGCTCTGAGATTTCATAATAAGTGTGTGTTGGGTTTTTATGATGCCTTTTATATATGTATGAGGTGATTTTGTTGTTTTGTTCTCTTTAGTTTGTCAATATGATAAATGATATTGTTTTATCTTCAGATGTGAAGCCAACCGTACATTCCCAGAATAAATTATATCCAACCATGATGTATTATCTCCTGTGAATGTTTCTGGGCTCAATATCCCCATGCTATGTTGAAGCTTTCTGCGTCTGTGAGCACGAGGGGAACTGGTCTCTAGTAGTATATTGGTTGGGCTTTCATCTCAACGTGCTGCTGGCTATGGAAAAAACTTAGGAAGTATTTCTTCATCCTCTGCTATTTGTTCTGTCTTTCTCCATTTTTTAGTGCTATAACAAAGGATCTGAGACAAATTTATAGAGAGTAATCGTTGATTTGGTCCATAGTTCTGCAATCGGGGAACTCCAAGAGAGAGACACAGGCATCTGGTGAGATTTGTCTGGCTGCTCTGTGACATTGAGATAAAAGCAAGGGTACCAACTCTGGTGTCTCTTCCTCTTGTTACAAAGCCACTGGTGTCATCATAGGACTGGATCCCCAAAGCCTCATCTACTCCCGATTATTATAAAGAAGCTCCACCTCCTTATTCACAGAAGAATTTGGGAGCTATTTTTCTGACATAAGAATTTGGGGGGAAATATTCATATCATAGTAAAACTTCACATTAAATTGATATCTCTTCCTTAAATGTTCAGAAGCCCCTTGAGCCTTACATTTTCTAGATGTAGTTTCAAAACTGTTCCTTCAATTCATGACAGCCATAAGGGGCTGTCTTAGTTACTTTTCTATTGCTGTGATAAGACACTACTGTAACTGGAGTATTCCTGTGTCTACCTGGCTACCGCTCAGGCCCAATTAAACACACAGAAACTTATATTACTTATAAATTGTATGGCCATGGCAGGCTTCTTGCTATCTGTTCTTATATCTTAAATTAACCCATTTCTAGTAATCTATAAGTTGCCACGTGGCTCGTTCGTGGCTTACCGGTATCTTACATCACACTTCTCCTCGTGGCGGCTGGCAGCATCTCCTGACAGCCTTCTTCTCTCAGAATTCTCCTCTCTGCTTGTCCCACCTATACTTCCTGCCTGGCTACTGGCCAATCAGCATTTTATTTATCAACCAATCATAGCAACATATATTCACAGCATACAGGACATCCCACAGCACTTCCCCTTTTCTGTTTTTTCAAAAAGGAAGATTATCAAAAGAAGCATCTATTCGGGGCTCACAGTTTCAGAGGGTGAGAGTCCATGACCGTCATGGCAGGGAGCATGGCAGCAGACAGGCAGGCATGGTTCTGGAGCAATAGCTGAGAGAGCTTTTATCTGGAGACACAACCACGAGGCAGAGAGAGCCCATACCCTGTGACACACCTCCTCCAAGGCCACAGCTTCTAATCTTTCTCAAATAGTTCCATCAACTGGGGACCAAGTATTCAAACACATGAGCCTATATAGGCCATTCTCATTCAAACCAC